CCTTGTGAGTTCACAGCAGCTTGATTCCTCCACTCGTGACAGGCCACTGTGGCTGCGGCTAAGGCCTTTGCCACCTGGAATCAAACTCTCTGACTCGGACTGTGGGCAGCGAGCTATTGAAGATTGCGCTTTCCAAGCAGAAAGAAAGCAGCAGGGCTCCCTGTGGTTATTACAAATTACATCTTTGCGCTCCCGGTGGGTGTGTCCACTAACGGTTGCCTTGGCAATGCTGTGTTTTCCAGAGGCAGCTAGTCTCCAAACACCCCCCAGTGGCACAGTTCTGGATGGGACTGAGGCAGCAGGCAAGCTGATTTTTGATGATGGCTGGAAATTCCAAACTGGTTTTACCTGGAAAGTTTAGGTAAGATTTCTTCAGAACCTCGAGTGTCACAGTTATGGATTCCCTATGGATGCCCTGGGTCCCTAAGATGTCACTCTCTGTTCCGCACAGTTCTGCTGAGGATCTCTGAGACTATCTGGTCACATCTTTGGGTACAGTTGTATGCTGTTCATGGAGACTTTATTGCTGCAAATGTAAATCCAATGGTCTTTTGCATTGTAAGCCAGATTTCCTTCACTGAAAATGCTATGTAATTCCTTTCAAAATGTTATCTATTTTATGCATATGGGCATTTAGTCTGCCTGTGTGTCTGTGCACCATAGGTGTCCTTGGTGCCTGTGGAGGCTAAAGAAAGTGTCAGATCTCCCCTGGGATATTTGTGAGCCATCATGTGGGCTCTGGGAATCAAACCTGGGTCCTCTGGAAGGCCTCCCAGTTCCCTTCACTGCTGAGTTAATTCTCCAGTCCCAAGATGCTATGTGAGTCTTGCAAAAATTAATACCACCTCTAAATTACTGGGCCCTTTTTGAGTGAAAGACTGACTTCATAAAACACATGCACAGACACACACACACACACGCACACAACCTGTTTTCTTTCAAATTAAATAATTCTTTCGATGTTCCTTCAAAGTATCCCGAATGAATGTCTTTTAAATTCAAGCCTTCTATTTGTAAGTACTGAGCCAAGAATATGGGGACGCGTATATAGATTTTTTTTACTTTAAAGAAATCAATAATATTCAACTTCAGTTATATACTAAATGATATGTTGTGATCAAGGAAGGCTATCGAAAGAATAAGGGTATCATTACATTAGTAGATTCATCAAACACACCACCTTACCCCACCACCATGTTGGCCAGTGGCTTGCCAGGCCTATTTCTTCTCTCTGACAAGCAAGCATCCCTGAACTCATTTCTCAGTCCCTCTGCCTGCCGGGTATGGGTTAGTTCCCACACTCTGGCAAATGAAATAGCGGTGGGAGTGTGTTTCACTTCTGCCTGTGTAAAGATCCTGGGGGGGGGGTGGGGGG